GACGAATTGTAGCCTACTGTTTAAAAGTGCAAGACTCATTGGCAATTGCGACGAAACATCTGGGATTGTTTCAAGTCCATTGTCCGACGCGGATAATTATGATAACTACTATAGCACAGGGCATGGTCCGCTTAACTTAGATACACTGAGAATACGACCGACTTGTCAAAACGAAGTCAGCCTACCTATATTCATCGAAAGAGACTGTGACCAAAGTAGATGCCACAACATCTTGGCCTTTATATCTTCGATTTATAATTTTGTTACTAGTTATTGCGAACTCCAAGCATTTGAGGCAAATTTTTCATAGTACTCTTTTTTTGAGTACACAACACCAACCTAAACCTTATTCAGTTGTAAATATATGGGCTTCAAAAATTCCACCTCTGATTAAAAATTTCTGTTTGCCTAATGAATGATTTTAAGCGACTAATATATTGTCTGAAACATCACTCCCTAGGTTAGGACTTAATTGGTTGTATTTTACAATTAATATATAAATCTCATTTCATATCATGCCGTTTTACCGAGATATTCTTGATTAATCCGCGCATATAATTTAATTCAAATTCTGCTGCTATCTCACAAGTACACTCGCTTTGGATTCTGGGTCTGGACTAGCCGCAGTTTAATAATTTTCCTGGTGCTGAGCCTTGATTTGGTGAATATTTTCTGAATGGAATGCGAAGTCATAGTGATTAAATGTAACTTCCTTGTTGGCTTACAGATCCATCAGTTTCCAACGTGCTATGTCTCTAAAAGCAGCGTTTTAGAACCATTTAGTGTATTATTAATTGCTCCTTCGAATGGTTTATTACAGTTTAGCAAGAAGAGCATCGCGTCTACATTTATGCTTTCATAACTGCTGCATAGGAGTTTTTACAAATTTTTTTCCGTTGCTCGGTTATTCTTTAATTTCTTTTATTTTATCGTATTTATTTTATCTTCAACTAGCATCACTATCGAGGATGTTGTGTATGTAGTCAATACTGGATTCATTAATGTGAGTGATTTCGACCCAAATTCAGATACCTCTACCCTCGCGCCACGACTTTTGAGTAAGGCGAATGCTCTTCAGCGTGAAGGACGGGCAGGAAGGCAAATGATTTAATTTTTACTCTTTTATAATCTCATGTTTTATATTTAATTTTTTTAAATCTTGAACTTACTTAAATTTTTGGCATATATATTCGTTATGCAATTTTTGATTGGCTATTCATTTATGTCACCGGAGTACAACAGTTAACTATCAGGTAGAAAGCTTAGGTAGAAAGCTTCGACTTGTGTCCCAATCTATATGCAGCTTCTATTTATGAGTCGCCCAGATATCAGTACTTAAGGCATACTCAGTGTTGGCTTCTAAGATGATATATTAATTTTTCCTTACACCTTGTCTTTTTTGATGCCAACCAACATAAGTGAGTATGGTAAACCAATGAGCAGGCCAAATATCTGTTTTTACATACGTCCATTGTACATATAATAATTCGTTCTTATCGTCAACCTGACCAATCGTAGTAAAGACTCCTTCCTGACTCGGTCTGTCCCCAGGATATCGTCCTCTCTTATCAGCAGAGGGGCACTCATACTTGCAAAAGTCCCGAGTTAACACTCTTCTTTCTTTACAAAAATACTATTTCGTTAAGCTCATCGATACCCACTTTTTATTGGTGAATATTTATCAGCCACTTGTAATGTGTCTGTATAAGAACTGTGTACTCTCATTCATTGTGCTTTCTTTGCTATTAACAACTTTTCCTAGATGAACCCCTTTTATCTATAGATAAACGGCCATTTAACATATTTTTACGCAGGTTGGTTCATCATCTTAATGAAACTATATATACATAATTACTATTGCTCAATCCTTAGATTTCACAACTATCAATTTATTAATTTATATATATATTTCACGCTCTTATTCAAATCACTAAATTTAACGGAAGTATTTATCTGGTGAAAATTGGGACTAATATCTTCTGGAATTTTCCCTCTGACCTATTTATTGCACCATTCTATAAATAAAATGATCTCTTTAATTAGAAAAACAAAATATAACCCCCTCTACGAAATCTTCGAGTTTTTACATAGGGATGTCTGGATAAACTAATTACCCTAATAGCGCCAGGAGTAAAAGGCACACAGGGACTGGACCCGAGTGAAATAGGTCAACCAGAAAAATAAGGAACGGATCTACGTGACAATGAAAGTATCCGAATTGGAGGCCCGAATGGGATAAGCCCATCGAAAGAGAGGGGTAGGGGTAAATAGTAAGTGCGATGAGGCC